TCTCATATACGCACTAAGCTAAGCATCAACATACCCCCCCATCCCCTCCGTTGTAACCAGCTCTTGCCCCTCCCTATACCCCTCCATGTCCTCGTGGACCCGCAATCCTACCATTTCCATAGCAATGCGCTGGCCCTTGCAGGACACATGCCGATGGCCTATCGCCCATATCACCTCCTCTAGCCCCCCTAAAGCGCTTACCACATCGAACCGTTCATTTTGCAGTTCCTTGAATTTGTCCTTCAGTCCCTCTATGTCTGCCACTGGGGCTCCCACCCCTCCTCTCCCTCTCTCATAATACTCCCTTAACTGCCCCTCATGATACCTAATAAGCCCATAAGCCGGCTGGTTCTCATGCCTCCCCTGGCATGAGAACCCCTTCACGAGGGCCCCATCCCACAAACGTGCAAATAAGACCCTCCCCTCGACATCTTGAAGTAACCCAACATTCAATTTCCAATAGCTCTTATACCTGTTCGGCCATCCCTCCTATCTCAATTCCACCAAAACACCTCAGTGATCTGAAAAAAAAAACACTGGAAGGCTTGAATTTTTTTTTGTATGCAGTAAATGACAAGTGTCACTGATACTTTAATGACTTTTGTTCACAGCTAATGTTGGTGAACCATTGTCATTAATACAGGGATCCACTGCATCTAAGTGCCATTTATTCTGCCTCTTTGGTACAATAACCTGTGATTTAACAGACTAGTAGGAGGGAGTGCATGACCAGTAATGGCAGTTGTAGTAGAGGGAGATGAAAATCTTTTGCCGTGATCTTGATAGTGATGAACAATTCTGTAACCAGTGGATTTTATTTCCAAATTAACAGACCCAGTAGATTTTGTATGGTACCTCCAAAGTCTGTTACAGTGAGGTCAGTTAAATCAAGGTCTTACTTACCATTACTGTTCCAACTGTGTATTAACAACAACAACTTGTATGTAGAAATTGGGTCATTGTATTAACATGATTATATTCTAAATTTGGACAAAGCGAGGGACACTTGGTATGATACAGATCCTCCCCGACTTCCAACCTATGTGACTTAGGTCCATCTGCACATATGACCAATAAAAATACACTTTAAATTAGAAAAATTAAAAATGTATATGCACATAAATATAAAAATTACCCCTGGTCATACGTCCACCAGTGCTCGCAGCTATGTGCATACGATAGTGACCCAGATCTTATTTCACTTATTTTTTATATTGCATAAGATTTATTCTTCAGACCATTTTGTTTTTCTATGAAATGTATGATTTATCTTAGTAAGTCAAATGCAATGTTACCTCTATACTTTTTATTGTCACAAAATAAAGAATGGCATTTTTAAAATGATAAAATAGTACATAATGAATGATAAATATACCTACTGTACTGTGTTTGTTAAAATCATAAAAACTAGGAAGATAAAAGACTGTGTTGAAATAATGAGTAACAAGAAAATTGATAGACCTAACTTAGGCTGCATTCCATATGGCATTTTTATTTGTGAAGCCTATGAATGATACCTACAAGTAAAGAACATCAGTTTGTGAGTAATGAAACTTAAGGTAAAAAAGCAGGTTGATAAAAACGAGATAATCATGACAGAAATTTATTAGGTTAAAAGAATTCTGTACAGGTATACGACTTCTACATGCCATGCTAACATAATTCCCAGCATCCCTCCATTTCAAGATCCGACCAGTTCATCAGAATGGAACTTGGATGTAAATCGGAGAGGGTCTGTATACAGTACCTGTATTACATAGATGCTATGCACCTCTATGACTTGAGGATTGGGTACAGTATTTGTTTTTTAATGTAATAATAATAGATACGTGCAACTTTGTTCATCCATGTTTAAAATTATGTGCTTCATCACAACATTTTGTAGTTATATTTTTTTTTTGATGCTTTATAATCTTGTAAAAAGAAAATGCTCACTAGAGGTACAGTACATATATCATAGCCGAACCTCAAATGATGTACAGTGGACCCCCGGTTAACGATATTTTTTCATTCCAGAAGTATGTTCAGGTGCCAGTACTGACCGAATTTGTTCCCATAAGGAATATTGTGAAGTAGATTAGTCCATTTCAGACTCCCAAACATACACGTACAAACGCACTTACATAAATACACTTACATAATTGGTCGCATTGGGAGGTGATCGTTAAGCGGGGGGTCCACTGTAGTTGAAGTTTTGGCAGTAAAGATTGAAAACCAAAACTTTGTCATTGTGGTAGTACACAAGCCTCCAGATGCAACTTCCCAGCAATTCCAGGAGAAGCTTGAGAAAATTGACCACTGTCTGGAAAATCTCCCAACTCCTGCCCCAAACATCTTACTACTAAGAGATTTCAACCTGAGACACCAAAAATGGAGGAGTATAGCAAACAATGTTTTAGTAGAGATCACCCCGGGAGGCAGCTCAGATGAAAATTCGCATACACATGAACTATTAAATCTCTGCAACAAATTCACCTTAAACCAGCAAATAGTAGAGCCTACGAGACTAGAAAATACACTGGACCTCATCTTCACTAACAATGATGATCTGATGTGTAATATAACTGTATCAAAGACAATTCACTCAGATCACAACATAATAAAGGTACAGACATGTATGCACAGGGCTCCTGATCAGCAAAATGTGAGCAGTCATGAAGGTCTCTTCATGAAATTCAATTTCAATAACAAAAACATACAATGGGATCAAGTAAACCATGTCCTAAATGAAACAAGTTGGGAGACTATCCTAAACAAAACGGATCCAAACACATTTGCCTTGAAAAAATGAATTCTGTGGTTCTTGAGATCTGCTCAAGACACATTCTATTAAGAAAAAGAAAGTGAAGATGTAAACTAGAAAGAGAGAGACGTTCCCTATACAGACGAAGGCAGAGAGTCACAGAGCTGCTGAGTGGGGTAATATATCTGAAATATGAAGGGAGGCACTAGTTAATGAAATTGCAAATATCGAACTTCAGCTGAAGGAATCTTATCGGAGACAAGAATCACAGGAAGAACTAAAAGCCATAAAGAAAATTAAAAAAAAAAAATACTTCTCCTCTTATGCCAAATCCAAGGAAAAAACAACATCCCCTGCTTAGGCAGGATAGGACATACACAGATGATAACCAAAAAATGAGTGAGATACTGAAGTCCCAATATGACTCAGTGTTTAGCGAGCCACTGCCCACTCTAAGGGTTGACAATCCAAATGAATTCTCTATGAATGAAACCCAAAATTTGGTCATCCCAAAAATCTCGGATATTCTAACTCCACAAGACTTTGAAGAGGCAATTAATGACATACCCATGCACTCTGCCCCAGGCCCAGACTCGTGGAACTCAGTGTTCATCAAGAATTCCAAGAAGCCCCTATTGTGTGCCTTCAGCATTTTATGGAGAGGGAGCATGGACACAGGGGTCATCCCACACACACTAAAAACAACAGACATAGCCCCACTCCACAAAGGTGGCAGTAAAGCAATTGCAAAGAACTACAGACCGATAGCACTAACATCCCATATCATAAAAATCTTTGAGAGGATTCTAAGAAGCAAGATAGCCAACCACCTAGATACCCATCAATTACACAACCCAGGGCAACATGGGTTTAGAACAGGTCACTCCTGCCTGTCCCAGCTACTGGACCACTATGATAAGGTCCTGGATGCTGTAGAGGATAAACAAAATACTACAGTTGTAGTATACACAGACTTTGCAAAAGCTTTCGACAAGTGTGACCATGGTGTAATAGCACACAAAATGTGGGATAAAGGAATAACGGGAAAAGTTGGTAGATGGATCTACAGTTTCCTGACAAATAGAACACAAAGAGTAATAGTAAACAAAGTCCCAAGCAGCCACGGTAAAAAGCTCTGTTCCACAAGGCACAGTACTCACTCCCATTCTATTCCTCATCCTCATTTCTGACATAGAGATGTAAGCCATAGCTCTGTCTTCCTTTACGGATGACACTCGGATCATCATGGCAGTGACCTCCATCGAAGACACCGTGAGACTCCAAGTGGACTTCAACTAAATCTTTGAATGGGTCACTCAAAACAATATGAAGTTCAATGAGGAGAAATTTCAACTACTCAGATATGGAAAACTTGAAGAAATTAAAAATGTGTCAGGGTATACCACAAATTCTAACCATACAATAGAGTGGAAAAGTAATGTGAAGGACCTGGGAGTGATAATGTCAGAGGATCTCACCTTCAAAGACCACAACAATGTATCTACCTCATCTGCTAGGAAAATGATAGGATGGATAATGAGAACCTTCAAAACCAGGGACACCAAGCCCATGATGATTCTCTTCAAAATTGCTTGTGCTCTCTAGGCTGGAATACTGCTGTACACTAACAGCCCCCTTCAAGGCTGGCGACATTGCAGACCTGGAGAGTGTACAGAGAACTTTCACGGCACACATAAGTGCGATAAGGCACCTAAACTACTGGGAACGGTTGAAGGTCCTTGATCTGTATTCCCTCAAACACAGGCGAGATACATGATAATATACACTTGAAAGGTCCTGGAGGGATTGGTACTAAACCTGCACATGAAAATCACTCCATATGAAAGCAAAAGACTTGGCAGGAGATGCAACATTCCGCCAATGAAAAGCAGGGGTGCCACGAGTACACTGAGAGATAACACAATAAGTGTCCCGGGCCCAAGATTGTTCAATTGCCTCCCAGCATACATAAGGGGGATTACCAATAGACCCCTGGCTGTCTTCAAGAAGGCACTGAACGGGCACCTAAAGTCAGTACTAGCTGGGCTGTGGTTCATACGTCAGCTTGTGTGTGGCCAGCAGTAACAGCTTGGTTGATCAGACCTTAATCCACCAGGTTTCAGTCCGGGCTGCGCAGGCGTTGACCCCCGAAACCCTCTCCAGGTAAACTCCAGGTAAGGGTTAAAAATACTATAGGATGAAGATATGATTTCAGACACCAATTAAAATCTATAATGTTAGTATTTTTCTGTTTCAGGAGGTAACTCTACCTGTACCTCTTCCTCCCAAGGATTCAGCAAGAACAGATGATAGAAGATTATGGGTTGGTAATCTTGACTCTCGGCTGAGAGAGTAAGTATTCCTCCCAGTTTTAATAATAATAATAACATTATAATAATAATAATATTGTATTTTACTGATAATTTTAATACAAAAATGATAAAAAAATAGGAAAAGTTGCATATAAAGATACACCAACTGAAGTACTGTTCTGCACCTGTAAGAGGTGTATATGCATCTTGAGCAAAAATAATTTTATGCATAATTCATACATGCATAAGCACAATAATGAGAGGAGTTTTTTTCATAATTAGCAGTGATAAATCCTGTACACCATGGCTTACCTATTAGGGGGACAGGGGTAGCAGGGCAACAGTTGCTTCCCCCTCAACACATCTGATGCATTAGATACAATGTAACATGTCCTAACTATAAAATTATGCCTTAAAAACACTAACACAAATTTTAAATTTTTTTGGGAAATTTGGGGGGGTTGAAACCTTTGTGCTTCCCTTTTCCCCTGATTTAGAATTGATTTAAGCGTTTACCTGTAAATATACACTAACACTACAGTAGGGGGGGGTTTTTATGGCGTTTCCCCCCCCTTAAAACCCCATTCCACTAAAATGGCAATTTAAAATTAAATGGCCAAAATTTGCTATACGGGTGAGCGATTTCTTCAAATAGGGCACCCCCTCCCCCCGTTTTTGTTTATATTCCCCGTAAAGCAAACTCTCTTTTTATTTCGGGAAAACTTTTCAAAATTTTCCAATTTTTTTTTTAAAGTTATTGCAATTTTAAAAATGTACTCTGAAAATTATACTTTTGTGTACCTGTACCAAATATACTTAAACCCCCTGTGCTTGGGATGCAGTAAAATATTTAAAAAACACTAAGATCTTTTTTCTTGATTTTCCCCCATAATTTTCTTTTGGGGGCATTAAATTTTTGTAAAATTAAAATTAATATACACAAATTTCCCCTTAATCCAACTATATTTTTTTCAAAATTTTAAAAATAAAAATGCACGTAACTTTAAACATGATACATACAACCCACATAAAAAAAAACTAACCCTATGAAATTTTTTTTACCAGCGTTTGGTTGGAGAGCCAAAAATTTTGTTTTCTTTAGTCCCCAAAAACCAGTAAAATCAACTAGAAAAATTTTTTCCTTTTTCCCTATGCCTTCAAATCTGCTATTTGCCAAATTTCCCAACCCCTTTGGGGGGTTTTGCACCCTTCTTTTTTAAAATTTTCATTATAATAATAACTTTAATAATAACAGTCCCCCCCTTTTCCCTTTTCCGAAATTTTCCCGAAAATTCGAAAAGTGTGGGGTGTTGGAAACACAGCACCCCTACATAACCCCAACACAGCCAGTTGTTTCCCGAGGAACAAAAAGAAAAAGAAACACTGCATCAGGCCTTTTTGGCCCATACTTTGGCAGGGCTTTAAAAATCCATTTTCCCCCTAACAAATATTTGTCCAACTCAATTTTCAATGCTACCCAAGCAGTAAGCTTTGATAATTTTATTTAAGAACATAAGAATGGAGGAACACTGCAGAAGGCCTACTGGCCCATACAAGACAGGTCCTTATCAAAATGACCCCTACCCAAAGCTACCCAAGAATATCCTCCTGTACCCAATGATACCAATCAAACCCAGCCCCTCTGACTCATAAGAACATAAGAATGGAGGAGCACTGCAGAAGGCCTATTGGCCCATGCAAGGCAGGTCCTTATCAAAACGACCTCTACCCAAAGCTACCCAAAAATTTACTCCATTACCCAATGACACCAATCAAACCCAGCCACTCCCACTCACATATTTGTCCAATCTCTTTTTAAAGCTACCCAAGGTCCTAGCCTCGATCATCCTACTGGGAAGATTGTTCCACACATCCACAGCTCTGTTAGAAAACCAGTACTTACCTATGTCCTTTCTAAATCTAAATTCTTCCAACTTAAATCCATCATTTCTGGTTCTTACCTGGTTTGACACCCTCAGTACAGTGGACCCCCGACATTCGATATTAATCCATTCCTGAGAGCCATCGAATGTCGAAAATACCGAAAGTCGAATTAATTTTCCCCATAAGAAATAATGGAAATCAAATTAATCCGTGCAAGGCACCCAAAAGTATGAAAAAAAAAAAATTTACCACATGAAATATTAAGTTTAATGCAATAGAATAATTACAGTAACAACAATAACAATAGATTAATAACAATAGAATAATTGACACTTACCTTTAATGAAGATCTGGTGATGATTGATGGGATGGAGGGAGGGGAGAGTGTGGATGGTGGCAGCCTCACCATGCCTTACCACACTGTGTATGCCACTATGATTCTTAAATCTTTCAAACCAACCTTTGTTGGCCTTAAATTCACTCACATCACCACTAGTTGCAGGCAATTTCTTTACCAAATCATCATGCACTCTGACACACGCACTCCACTTTCATACTTTGCAATTATTTCTTTCTTCATTTCAATAGTCATTAGCACCGTATTACACACGTTCCAGAGTTGTTTCTCTTTACTTAGGGTATAGGTTATACTACATTCTGGCAGGATGACACTACCAGTGGTATTCTCCCATTCCACTGCGTCGACAAAACATAAAGATAACAGTAACATATGATACTGTATGCGATGTAAAATTTACAGTACAGTTCACTACCATGTATACATTATATACAGTACATAAATAATTAAAATATAGCAATAAAAGTAAATTATAGTAAAAAGAATGAAATAATGATTGTACATTACATTACAGTACTATGTAGGTAGTTTATATAGGTAAGGTTCGACATTATACCCTACCCAGTATGTCGGCAATTTTCAAAGGTTCGACTTACGTCCATTTTGACTTACGACCGGTTGGTCGGAACCAAGGTTGGTCATAAGTCGGATGGTACCTGTATATATTCTAGAATGAATAAAATATGTCAATCATGTAGTGGTATGGGCGCGTCAGTGGTGGACGAGAGAGTGTCTGGAGACAGGACAAAATACTCATTGAATAATTTTGCCAGTATCATCTATATGGCTTATTTATCTATCACAATTCATCTAATATGACATAATAAGCAACATAAATAACATAGAAACCTGATAAATACGCTAGAATGAATAAAATATGTCGTTATATAACAGGTGGAGGTGGCAACAACTGCTCCTGCTTTGTTGTGGTAAACGCTGCCATCTAGTGATGGCCTTTTGAAGTCGTCTATTATTATAATTATTATTATATAGTACATTATTATTATACATGTATTATTATACATATTATTATTTTTTTTTTATTTTTTTTTTTCAAGTCAGCCATCTTCCACCGAGGCAGGGTGACCCAAAAAGAAAGAAAATCCCCAAAAAGAAAATACTTTCATCATCATTCAACACTTTCGCCTCACTCACACATAATCACTGTTTTTGCAGAGGTGCTCAGAACACAACAGTTTAGAAGCATATACATATAAAGATACACAACATATCCCTCCAAACTGCTAATATCCCAAAACCCCTCCTTTAGAGTGCAGGCATTGTACTTCCCATTTCCAGGACTCAAGTCCTGCTATATAAAAATAACCGGTTTCCCTGAATCCCTTCACTAAATACAGTGGACCCCCGGTTAACGAACTTTTTTCATTCCAGTAGTATGTTCAGGTGCCAGTACTGACCGAATTTTTTCCCATAAGGAATATTGTGAAGTAGATTAGTCCATTTCAGACCCCCAAACATACACGTACAAACGCACTTACATAAATACACTTACATAATTGGACGCATTTGGAGGTGATCGTTAAGCGGGGGTCCACTGTATTACCCTGCTCACACTCCAACAGATCGTCAGGTCCCAAATACCATTCATCTCCATTCACTCCTATTGAACACGCTCATGCACGCCTGCTAAAGCCCCAAACCCCTCACCCACAAAACCTCCCTTACCCCTTCCTTCCAACCTTTTCGAGACAACCCCTACCCCGCCTTCCTTCTCCTACAGATTTAAATGTTCTCTATGTCATTCTACTTTGATCCATTCTCTCTAAATGACCAAACCACCTCAACAACCCCTCTTCAACCCTCTGACTAATACTTTTATTAACTCCACACCTCCTAATTTCCACACTCCAGATTTTCTGCATAATATTTACACCACACATTGCCCTTAGACAGGACATCTCCACTGCCTCCAACTGCCTCCTCGCTGCTGCATTCATAACCCAAGCTTCACACCCATATAAGAGTGTTGGTAGTACTATACTTTCATACATTCCCTTCTTTGCCTCCATAGATAACGTTTTTTGACTCCACATATACCTCAACGCACCACTCACCTTTTTTCCTTCATCAATTCTATGATTAACCTCATCCTTCATAAATCCATCCGCCGATACGTCAACTCTCAAGTATCTGAAAACATTCACTTCTTCCATACTCCTCCTCCCCAATTTGATATCCAAGTTTTCTTTATCTAAATCATTTGATACCCTCATCACCTTACTCTTTTCTATGTTCACTTTCACTTTCTACCTTTACACACACTCCCAAACTCATCCACTAACCTTTGCAATTTTTCTTTAGAATCTTCCATAAGCACAGTATCATCAGCAAAAAAGTAACTGTGTCAAAATCCCATTTTGTATTTGATTCCCCATAATTTAATCCCACCCCTCTCCCGAACACCCTAGCATTTACTTCTTTTACAACCCCATCTATAAATATATTTAAACAACCATGGTGACATTACACATCCCTGTCTAAGACCTACTTTTTACCGGAAGTAGTCTCCCTCTCTTTTACACACCCTAACCTGAGCCTCACTATCCTCATAAAAACTCTTTACAGCATTTAGTAACTTACCACCTATTCCATATACTTGCAACATCTGCCACATTGCTCCCTTATCCACTCTATCATATGCCTTTTCTAAATCCATAAATGCAATAAAAACTTCCCTACCTTTATCTAAATACTGTTCACATATATGCTTCAATGTAAACACTTGATCTACACATCCCCTACCCACTTTGAAACCTCCTTGCTCATCCGCAATCCTA